CCGGGTCCGAGCGAGGTTTCCCGTCGGGGCGCGGTCGCGCGGCAGGCGATCGTCGCCGGGCTCGGAGACGGCAAGGGCACTTGCGGGCGGGATCGCCTGCGTCAGTTCCTGTCGCTGGGCGAGGCAATCGATGAGTTCTTCGACCGTCAGCGGGACAACTCATGCGTTGTCAAGGTCATCGACTGGGCCAGGGCGCAAACACGACGTTGCCATCTGGGGCGCTGCAGCAGACAAGGGCGTTCTGCTCCGCCCGTGGTTGCTCGAGTTGCCTATGGCTGGAGCCCGCGCCACCGGCGCGGCGGCGAGGTGCGAGGCCTGGGTCGTCGGCGCCAAGTTCGCGCGGTTCGATGGCCCCGTCGCCGTCGACGCCGTGGCGCAGGGCAACTTCGGCGACCTCGAGCTGAGGTGCTCCTCATCGTGGCGCCTGCCGTCTGCCGCCCCGGCGACGCCGGCCCGCTCGCCTCCGTAGACAGTATCTCGGCGACGCTGCGGTCGGCTCTGGGCGAGGAGATGCCAGCAGACGCGGCCTGCATGAAGGTCTCACCGGCGGTCCTGGCGCGTCTCGCCGAGGGCTGCGCGGAGGGCGAGGTGATCGAGTTCTTCGACTCAGCTGGTGGGGCCGCGCAGCCAGACCTCGAGCTGGCCGATCTCGCCCCGCAGCCTGACGATTGGAACGTCGTGGTCTCGCTCCGACCCGTCGCGCCCCCTGCCCCCGCCCCCGGGGGCGACCTGGGGCGCGTCGGCTTCCGGCTTTCCGTCGACGGGCGGATCGATGGGGAGAGGTGCCTCGCCGCCGACGAGCACGACGGCGAGGGCGCGGGGAGCGGCGAGGTCGACGCAGCCCGCGAGGTTGCCGCGCAGGAGTGTTTTGTGTCGCAGGGCCCCCCAGCAGTCGACGCGCCCGTCTCGAGCGCGTCGCCACCCTGCCCCGTGCGGCGCCGTTCGCAGAACTGTTCCTCCCGATGGTCGACGTCCGCGGACGACGCGAGGGGCATCTGCTACCTCCAGCAGTGGCCGGGCGCCAGGGTTTGGGAGACCATCCTCCGTGGCCTTGACCTCAGGGCCAGCGAGTTGCCGCGTTAGGGCCCCCCCCCGCGAGGTGGGCTGCATCCGCTGGCGGGGTCGTGGCGGGATCGCGCCGGCGCTGGCGGCCCCTGCCGTGGGGGGGCAGAAGGCCTCGGAGGCGGCCCACGTCGTGCGTCGACATTGCCTGCGATCCGCTGGGCGTCTCCGTGACGGGGGCTGGCCTGCCCGTGGCTGGGCCCCCCCTGGCGCCGAATCGTGGTTGGCGTTGACTGGGGCGGCCGCGTCGTCATTGGCCTCTGCGATGGCCATGGCGCCTCGGGCCCGACGCAGCGGGCAGCTCTTCGGCGGGTCCAGCAAGGGCGCCAGGCTTGCGATCGCGCGGGCCTCGCGAGAAGAGGAGAAGGCGACCCGAGGCCAGCCCGGCGGAGTCGTCTGGGGAGGGGGATCTTCAGTGCGTGTCCGTGCAGGCGGGGAGGCGGCGAAGGTCGAGCAGCTCGGGGTAATCGTCGCGTGCGTCATCCTCGTCGGGGCCGAGTCGGTCGCTTCCGTTGTCGGGGCTGGTCAGGTGCTGGGTGCGCCATCTGATGTTTCGCAGGGCCGCCGCGTGTCTCGCCGCCGCGAGTCTCGTGGGTGAGCCCTGCGCGCGGCTTCGCGTGCCCGGCGTGGGCCAAGGGGCGTGGCGCCAATGGCCGTATCCAGTCATTTATGAGCTGATGGGGCTAGTTCTCCTGTTCCCGATGCCCAGGGACTCGCTCGACTCCGAGGCGGCAGAGCAGGTCTTCGTCTCGGGCGCCGCCCTCTCGTCGGCAGTGTCGCGCCGGCCCCGCCCAGCGTGGAAGAGTCCCTGAGGAGGCGGTCTGGCTCTGGGCGCTTGCGCCTCGACGGACAAGCGCGGTGGGGCTCGATTTTCCTGGGCACCCTGAGTCCGATGAGCATTTCGAGCTCCTGGGGGGGCGTGGACTGGGGTGACTGGGGATCTCCTGCAGCTGACTCGGATTTCCAAGGGAAGGCCCGCCCGCGCGCCCGGGTGAAGTCTCACGGCGCGCGGCTTCGCGGGCTGGGCGGCGCCTCCGAGTGGCGGCCATGCTGGCCACTGCCCGTCGGTGTGTCATCACGCTTGACAAGTGGAGCATATGGATCCAGCGTCGAGGGCCGCCCCGCCCCGGCGACGGCGCGCGAGACGTCGAGCTGCTCAGCGCCGCCCTCGTCGCCTACGCGCAGTACCTCTACGACGCGAAGGCGCCATTTTCTCGGGGGTCTCTGAGACCCTGGTTGGCGTTGAGTTTGGCTGGCCCCAGACCCGCGTTGGCGTCCTGCCTGGGCCGCGGTGGCTCGCTGTCGCAATTTTGAGCTCGTCGAGATGCGCGCGCCCATGCCTGCCGAGGCGCTCCTCGCACTGTCAGTCGCTGCCCGGGCGCTGGGATGGGATGGCGCGTCAGCGCGCCTCCTCCTCGCTCCGACCGATGGCCGAGGTTCCGCAGCGTCCTGATCGACGAGCATGCGCTGCTGAACTTAACGGCCCGTCTTTGGCCCCTCTCGCCGATGGCCGCGTTGCGCCTTAGACAGCCGCGCGGACTGACCTAGAGTCGGGGATGGACAGAACCCCCAACAGTGACACGTCGATTCGTGAATTGTCCGTTTTCGTCTCTCGAGAGGGCGCCGTGGCCGTTGTTTTCCAGGCTTGCGCCCGCCAGGTTTGGGCCTCAGGTCGTTTTCACTAAACCACGTTTTACTAAAGGGGGGTCTGTCCATCCCTAGGGTTGCCGAGGTTGCGTCGCGCTGTCGCCCTTGCGCTTGGGGTGGGGGTGGGGTTGCCCAGGTTGCGCCATGTCGCCGTCCGCACCGCCTCGCCCGAGGAGCCTGGGGGTGCGGTGGGGCTTCTCCAAGCGGTTGAGATGCTTGACGTTTCTGCCCCGTGTTGGTCCTCCTGGGAACTTCTGGTGACCTCGTCGGCACGCGACTGCGCAGGGCGCGTGGTGTTCATCCACCTCAACGGCCTCGTCGGCATCAGCGACTCGCCCTGCGCCCTCGGGTCGCGGCGAGGGGGCGGGGCCGTTCATCCCTTTCGCTCGTCTCGGAGCCTCGGGGTGCTACAGTGCCGTGGGCGCTGGTCACCACCCACCAAACCACCCCAACCCAACCCGAAGGCCTCATTTTGCCCTCCATTTCTAGTGGGGGGCGATCCGGGAACATCGAAAAAACACGTATGGAGCCTATACCCCCCCCAACCCGAAATTCGGGTCTTCGGGTTGGGTTGGGGTGGTGTGGTAGGTAGTCAGCTGGGGGAATTAAAGGTCTGTGCGTGATATATCTTGTTGAACAAGAGCGTCAAAGTTGGAGCAGGTTGTCAGCTCTCTGTCTTTGGGTTGGAACAGGCTGTCAGCTCCTCGATGGCCCCCGCCTGCGAAGCCGCGGTCTGGCCGAGGCCGCGCGCGTCCGCCTCCTCCAGGCGGCGCCGCAGCTCGTCCTGCCGCATGCCTCGGAGCTGGGCGAGGCTGGGGAACAGCTCCAGCCTTACGGGGGGCAGCACCTGGGAGGTCTTTCGTCCGAACGATCAGGATCAGGCCGGATCTAAGACCGGGGCTGAGCCAGATTAACTAGGCAGGAGGAGGCCGGAGTCAAAATGGGCTTTTGAAGCGCATGAAGCGGGACGAAACCAGATCAGGGACGCGGCAAAACCAGCGCCGCTGCGCCCTGACGCCCCGGACCGCCCTGTTGCCAGAATTTCCTCGCGGTCTTCGCAAATGGGGTGCTTTGGAAAACGAGCGTCGGAGATCATGCGAGCACAGCTGTTATGACAACAGAAGGAAGTGATATGCAGCTTTCTCGCCCTACCCCCCCCATCCTCGCTAACAGCTCTTGAACAGGTCGAGACCTCTATGTATTTGGGGATCTGCGAGGCCGCGCGGCAGAACCAACGCCGCTGCACCGCGACGCCCCTGGCTTCCCTTTGACCAGTTTTTCCTCGCAAGCTCACACATGAGGTTTTTTGGAAAACGAGCGTCGGGGATCAGGATGACGATGCTGATGGCGATGCTGATGGTAGTGCTGATTCTGCGGATGTTGTTGCTGATGATGGTGACGAGGAGGAATATGACGAGGATCAATCGGGGGACGTGGAGGCGGAGGAGGGGGAGGAGGAGGAGGAGGAGGAGGAGGAGGAGGAGGAGGAGGAGGAGGAGGAGGAGGAGGAGGAAGAGGACGAAAAAGAGGAATAATATGATCATGACCAGGAGGGCGAGGGCCTTCGTGGGGCTTGTCCTGGCCGCTGCTCCATCTGAGATCGATTTCTGACGGCCCAGGGGCCCAGCGCAGGCCCCCAGAAGAGGCCGACGCCGAGGGGAAACCTCGGGCGCGAGGAGAGCCTGCAGCAATCGTGGAACCGCCACCAGAATGCGTTCGAAATGAAGAATCAGGGGGGGGAGAGGATGCATGAGGGAAAGTTCGACGAAGGAAATGGCAGAAGGGAGGCTGGGTGGGACGCGGGAGTCTGGACGACGGAGGAAGGATGAGGGAGGGAGGGAGGAGAATTTGAAGAGGCAGGAGGGAGGAAACAATCAGAGAAGGGGAAAGGAAGGATCGGGTCGGATCGGTAACTCAAGGAAGTACCTACACGAAGTAGCAGCCGAGGGAGTGCCTCTGTCATACGAGCGGTAGCCCACAACGCCCGCTATGCGGGTTCATCCGGCCCCTGGGGCAATAATCCAAACACCAGAAGGCAGGAGGGAGGGAATAGATATAACCAGGGCGAGAGTGGGGAATAGGTCCATTCCCCCATCTTCTGCCTTCTCCCTTCATTTCTGTGCGCTGGCCGCGGTTAGGGCCCGCGGGCCTCTTTGTCTTAGTGTGTGTGTGTGTGCGCGGTAAAAGCAGAGTGGCAAACAAGGAATCGGCAAGGGCCTCCTGCTCCTCCTCCTCCCTCCTCCTCCTCCTGCTCCTCCTCCTCCTCTTTCCGTGTGGTGCCACTGGCACAGGGCACCGACGGCATGATGGCTGTCCTGAGGAACGCCGACGTCCTGGAATTCGAAATCGAGTTCATGAAGTCGCAGGGGGGCACTGGGAGGAAGCATCCTCGGCTTCGGATCGCCCTCGCTCTTTCTTTCCTTCCTCGCTCTCATCATCTTCGTTCCCCTTCGTCCCATCCAGCGTCCCGTCCGCCTGCCCTTGCTGCTGCTCCTCCTCACCCATGTCCTCTTTCTCCTGCCCATCCCTGTCCCTTCTTCTCGTCCTCATCTTCCCCCTCTTCCTTTTGCTCCTTATCATTCTCCGCCTTCCCCTCCCTCTTTCCTTGTCTCTGCCCCTCGCCATCCTCCCTCCTACCCCTCCCGCTTCGCCCTCTTGTTGTATCGTTTCCCTTCGTTGGATTGTGCTCGTCCTGCTTATCGTCCTCCTCCTCCTCCTCCTCCTCCTCCTCCTCACCCTCATCTTTTATGTCTTACAGTGTTTTTTCATTTTCCCCTGCTTCTTCTCTTTCCCTCTCGCCATCATCTTCCTCCCCCCACCCTCAACCCTCATCATGATTGTCCTATGTAAACTGTTGTTGTTGTCGCTCTTCACCCTCATCGTTTCATTAGTCCTCCTCTGTTTTTCTTAACCGCTGCGCGCATTTCGCTGGTCCTCATCGCATCACCGTTGCCTTTCTCTTGTCGGCTCGGTGGATTGGGAAGCTGATAGGTTGTGGCCATTTCCCTGTGCTGCCGTGTGAGGCTGGCGTCGGGAAGCGGCAACCGCTTGGTCGATGGAGGGCATGCTCGACGGAGCATCCCACAACCTAATTTCCGCCATCGATTGGGTATATTGATGGCCGGGCCCCGTGGACTACGTCCAAACCCATGTTTCGCCATGCGAGCCCGTTCAACGGCTTTCGGGAGCATCTTGGAGGACTATTGGGGGCTTCTGTGGGCCTTGTAGGAGCTTTACGGGGGCCTCACACGGGCCGCCTGACGCCCCTTGATGGCTTCTCGGTTTATTTTTGACCATCATTGGTGTCATCGTGGGGCATCTTGGGGCCGTCTTGTGTCCATCCTGCGGCATTTCTTGGGCTCTCTTGTGGAATCTCGGGGGGGGGGCCTTGGGCGTTCTGCGGCCCTCTTGGGGCCCTCCCCGGGGCGAGACGGCCAACATCACTGAATGCATGTTCCCGCGCAGTGCTTGAACTTGGGAGCTCTTGCTTTCCTTCTTGAGAAGTTCGACGCGTCTGCGGCTTAATCCGCCAGCGTACTCCCTCGGAAGCCCTCCCGCCCTCTGCGAAGCCCTCCGCCTGCTCGGAGGTGGCTCAGGAAGCTCCTCGGAAAGCTCTGGGGCCCTCCGCGGCCCGCCGCCGACTCCAGCGACACAAGCTCCACACACTTCCCCCTCCTCCTCCTCCTCCTCCTCCTCCTCCTCCTCCTCCTCAAGTCTGTGAGCGCCCGTGGGTGTCTGGTGCGCTGGTTGGGTCCGCCGAGGCTTCGCCTGGTGAACCCGCCCGCCGGGGCTCCCGTGGGCGCCATTGGGGCGCCCCGCGTCGTGGGCGCCTCGTGCGCCGGGTGGGGCAGCGGATTCGCCCGGTGTCCTCCTCCTCCTCCTCCTCCTCCTCCTCCTCCTCCTCCTCCCGTGAGCGCCTCTTGGGCGGCTCGCGCGCTGGATACCTCGAGCTTCTTGACAAGCGTCGGGGGGGGGGTGCGCCACCCCCGCTGACGGTCCCACATCGACCTCCGTCGCGGGCGGCCACCGCGCGCCGAAGGCGCCCCGACTCCCGTCGCGGCGCGACGACGAGCAGGGGGCCCCCCCCCCACGCTTATTGAGAGACCCAGGGTCGGCCAGCCCATTTTTCACCTGGTACCCGCCCCTGGGCGCCAGTGAGCGCTTCGTGCGCCACATAGTTTGCACCACACAGCCTGCACCCCCCACACACATTGCTTAAACCACATATCACATTGCTTGCCGCAGAGCTGGTACCAACACGGCATAGCTTGCACATAAATTACGCCACGAAGAATGCACAACATTGTTTACTCCAAGCAACTTGCACCACATAGTTTCTACATCGACTATGCAATCACTTATTGCTTGGGGCCCGCGCTGGAAAGCATGTCATCTGTATCGGTGTTGGCCATTCCGGGAGCTTCCGATGCAGGGCTCCAGGAGATCTTGGGGGCCTCCTCATAGAGCGTTTTGGCAACCTTTGGGGGCGTACTGGGTGCGTCTTGGAGGCCCCTTGGGGCCTCTGGGAGGCGTTTTGGGGAATTCTTCAGTGCGAGAACGCGGATTAGTTCTTTGTTGTACGCGAGATCGTGTCCTCGGCCCCTGGTGCGCGGATCCACGGCTTTTTTACTAGGTGCCCGAAGCCCCCCAGAGACAGGGTTCAGTGAGAAATCCAACAACCTCGGCGGATGGCCAACGAAGGCAATGAACAACACAGGGGAAGTGCCCAGGGGCCGGGCGGCACGGGGGACTAGCCAGAGGATCTGAGACGCCGTTGGCCCGTCGGGCTGGCGAGTTTCCATGCGGCGCTCGAGTGGCTCCGTCTCGCGCCCTCTGGAAGTCGGGGCTCGACCAATCTTCGGGCTCGTGCGTGGCGATGTCTGCCCCCTGTCACTTGCTCGCCCTGGGCGGGACCCTTCTCCGCCCCGTCTTGGACCACCCTCCTAAGTATCCCTCCCCATCCTCACCTTCCCCATCCGCTTCCTCTTGGCTCCTCGCCCTCCCGCCCCCACCCTTGCCATCACTTCAGTTGTTTCCTCTTCCCCCTTCTTCCCCTTCTCATCCTTCTCCTTCTCTCCATCCTGCTCCTCCTTCCTCCTCCTCCTCCTCTTACTCCTCCTCCTCCTCCTTTTTCTCCTCCGCCTCCTCATCCTTCTCCTCCTCCTCCTCCTCCTCCTCCTTGTCCTCCTCCTCCTCCCCCTCCTCTTCCTCGTCCTCCCTCCTCTTCCTTCTCCTCCTCCCTCCTCTTCCTTCTCCTCCTCCCTCCTCTTCCTTCTCCTCCTCTTCCCCCTCCCTCTTCCTTCTTCCCGTTCTCAGGACATATCTCCTCTATTTCCCGCTTTCCCCCTATCCTTCTTCGCCTTTTCCTCGCCAACCCCCTTCCTCTACTCCCCTCCCCATTATGTATGTCTTCTCTTCTTTATGTCCCCTCATCGTCCTCCCTCACCCTTCTTCCTCCCTACCAGCTTTCTCTCTCCACTTCTTCCTTCTTATCCCTCCCCGTCTCCCTTCACGTCTGGCGTCATCGACGTCATCGTCGTCGTCGTCGAGTCGTCGTCGTCGTTGCTTGTCGTCGTCGATGCTGTTCGTCGTCGTCGTCGTCGTCGTCGTCGGCAGCGCTGCTCGTCGTCGTCGTCGGTCGTCGTCGTTCGTCGTCAGCCGCCGCTGTCGTCGCCGTCGTCGTCGTCGTTGTCGTCGGCGTCGGCGTCATGTTCGTAGCTCGTGGTTCGTCCTTCGTCGCTCGTCCTTCGTCGTTCGTCGTACGTCGTCTTTGTCGTTGATCGCTGTGTCGTCGTCGTCGTCGTCGTCGCCGCCGGCGTCGTCGTCGTCGGCGGCGTTGTCGCTGTTCATCTTTTGTTGTTCGTCGTTCGTCGTCTTCGGCGCTGCCTCCGTCATTGCTCGCAGGTCGACTGGCACTTATGCCTGCGATTTCCCTGAGCTCCGCGAGGATCTGAAGCAGGCGCTGCCCGAGTACGAGGTGAGCTGGTCCAAGGTCACGACCGCGGTCCTGAAGTCCAAGCAGGAGGGTGGGGTGGGGGGGAGGGGAAGGGCTCCTCCTCCTCCTCCTCCTTCCGATCATCGTTTCACTCCTCACCCATCTCCCACCTCCTCATCGTCTCCCCTTTTCCTCCTCCTTGCACCCCCCCCTCTCCTTCTCCTCGTCCTCGCTTTCCTCCTCATCCTCGACCCTTTCACCCTCCTGCTCGCCCTCCCCCTGCCCCTCCTCTCCCCCCTCTCGTTCTCCACCCTCCTTCCCTTCCCCCTCCCCCTCCTCCCTCTTATTCCTCCTCCTCCTCCTCCTCTTCCTCCACCTCCCACCCTTGCCCTTTTCCCTCCTAACCCATCCCTCCTGCTCTGCCTTCCTCTGTCCGTTTCCTGTTCTTCCCCCTGTGTCCTCGTCCTCCCTCCTCGACCCTTCCTCTTCGTCGCCGTCATCGTCGTCCTCCCCATCCTCAGCCTCCTCCTCCTCGGTTTCTGCTTCCTCCTTGGCTGCTCTGCTCTGCGGTACCAGTGGGGTCGCCTCGGGGTAGCCCACCCGAGGGGCAGCGGACCTGTCTCGCCCCTGGACGGGCTATTTTTTACGTCCACGGCTCGTCGCCGCGTGTCCACTCGCCGAGCTTGTCTACACACCATTTCCCCTCCCCTCCTCGTCGTCTTTCCTTCCATCCCCCCTCCCTCGTCCCCCTCCCCCCTCGTCCCCTTCGTCAGCGAATTCGTCCCCGTCCCCGTCGTCGACGTCGACGATCTCGTCATCGTCCTATGGCTCCTCCGCGCTCCACCGTGTCAGTGCGCGGGCGAAGAAATCAATGAGAGATGGATGATTATGATTCAGCTGCTAATGATGATGGTGCTGATGATGATGATGATGATGATGATGATGATGATGATGATGATGATGATTATGATTCTGATGATGATGGTGGTGATGGTGATGATGATGCTGAGTATGATGATGATGGCGACGATGCTGATGATGACGATGCTGATTACGATGATGGTGATGCTGATGCTCATAATGATGCTGTTTATGATGATGCTGACGATGGCGATGCTGATACTGGTGATGCCGAAGCTGCTGATGATGCCGAGGAGGATGGCGATGATGATGGTGGTGCTGCTGCTGCTCTTGATGCTGATGCCGATTCAGATCATGATTACGACGACGATGATGCTGGTGATGACGCTGCCGATGGTGGTGATGCTGATGAGAAGTATGCTGTGATTGTGGTGGCACTGCGTAGTTTGTTGCTAATGATGATGAGGGTGTTGCTGATGATGATGCTGATGATGA